GAAGTAGGCAGGAGGGAAAGATAGGGACCTCATTAGCAAGCTGTCAACAGGCTTTTAGGGGCTGGAGGAAAAACCACTGAGAAGGGCAGGATAAGTGAGAGTTCTTGGCTCTTTGTGTCTTGTAAAATGAAATAAGCAGATTGTATAGCCTGGGGCTAACCTCAGCCTTGGATTTAAACTCAGACCCTTAATTAGGCTGTCTGGATCTGTTTTTAAAGGCACCTCGTGAAGGAATCTAAAGTTGTGAGGTGGAGCCTTGACTGGAAATAAAACTGTTCCCTGTGCTGAACTCTGCTTAGCCTCTGTCAGCTGGTTAATGGAAGAATGATCTGGAGAGAAAATAATGGGCAAGTGAGGGAATGTTTCAAAACAAAGGCTGCCTGAAGCATTCCCCAAACACACATCCTATTAACCGGATCAGTTGAGTCATCTTCAAATACGAAGAAAAGACATAGACTGTTTCTTAGCCACAAAAAAGGCTCAACCACATTTCTTTTATCATGTCCATTAGTAGAAATGACTAAAGATGCCCTTGAGTGTCAGTGCATTACACTTAGAACATCATGCACCCTCAGCTCTTGTAGATGCTTTTTCCAGCTTCCTATGCAGCACTGACTTTGTTTTCTTCACGCCTAGGTTTGGTGAAAGCTTCAGTTCATGCCATGGAGACCTCTTTACAGGCTACAGAGATCTTTTCATTTTAGGTTGCACAGTTCAAATAATATAGAAAGGCAATGACTATATTTTGAACATAATTAGTTTGCAAAAATATGTCGTTTGTTAGAATTTGACTCAAACTCTCCCTACTTATCATTTTTAGGTTTTATATCCAGAAAACCAGACAGGGAATTCTCAACTCTTGTTTCAGCCCCAAGATTTCCTGGAAGGAACATAAATAGAAGTCTCAGGCCAGAAATGACCTTAGCAATCATCTGGTTCAGCCTTTCCATTTTACTGATTAGGAAACTAAGAGGCAGCATAACCTGAAAACAGGGTGCTAGTCCTTGACGCTGTTACAAAATTCTCATTTGCCAGTGGTTAAATTCTCGTCAAGACCTGGGCCATCAGGTCCTCTCCCATCCTTCTGAAGTAGCAGGATGGTCACAGTTTAGCAAAACGCACTCAACAAATTTTGTTCTTCCAGAAACACTTGCAGTTTTGCAAGCAAATGGTGTGTGTTCAATGCATTCATTTTTTCTTCCCATTTGAAAAGTTCTTCCTGAGTTCCCAGCTCTAGTGGTCACTGTTCATAGCTTGAGGCTATGGAAAAGGGAACTTATTCTGAGGCTCTGGAAAGGGGTACTTCCTACAGGTATACAGGCTTGTGCATTAGGCTAGATTTCATTGCTTCAAATGTCTTCTTTTTCTGTTGTTTTTTGGGGGGTTTTTTCCAAAAAAGAATGGTGGATGGCTGTCCTTGAGCTATTCCACTTGTTTTTGTTCTAGCACACCTATCCCTCACCAAAGTTGGAAGAATTATACACTGCAGTTTATACTCAGATCTCTTGTCACTTACATTCAAAAGGATTCCGTCCTTCTTGCTTTCTTTTTCTTTCTTTTTGGGGGTGGGGTTGTTGGTAGACTCTAAGCTCTGTGATACTCTTTCTTGGTCATGCTTGGGCAGTGTCCAGCCCCTAGCAGATGAATGAATGAATGGGAGCAATGTTCTATAAATGGTTTATGGCTTAGAAAATCAACTATTGACCCTTGACATAAAGTTCTATAACTGGCATTAAGACTTGCATGATTCCCAATCTTCACTGAGAGGTATTATTTGTCCAGATACCTGAAAAGAAATCCCCAATGCCTTGTTCTAGGCTTGAGATGTAATGGATGAGCTATGAGTAGACAGCTTTTTAAAAATAAAAGGAATCTTAGTGTTGATTGACCCATTCTCAGAGTAACTGTGAAACATGACTAAGATCACACAGAGCTAGAGGCAGATCTAGGACTGGAATTAGCCCTTCTTGTCCCCATCCCAGTACTTTTATTTCAAGACATCAGACAGTCTTGCCAGTGACCATCACTGCAAGGCAAAGTCAAGTTCTGTGACACTGAAGTCCTCGTAGACCTAGAACAGAAATAGAAGATACATGGTATACATGCCATGACACTTCCTTTTGGTGCCCAAAGGAGACGCCACTAACCATCATGACTTTTCCCATTGGGTCTGGACAGAACCTCAGGCAGCCGTGACCAACCAGAGTTGGCACTCAAGATGAAACCTATCAGCCACCCTCCTCTAGAGGAAATAAGGATTTCAGAAGCCAATGAACTCTGGTCTTAACCTGTCTTTTCAAGATGAGCTGAACCTCCAGCCAGGAACCTCCCACCCTTTATTGCTCTTCAGTGTCCTCACATCCCCAAGGGACTTAGAGGTGATGTTTGCAAGCAGGTCTTCCACAGCATGTTTCTGCCAGACAGAGCAGGTGCAGTTATTAGTCATGACTCCAAGCCAGGCAAGGTGATTAAGAAAAGCTAAATTTATATTAAATTATCATAAAGTCCTAAAATACTGAACATAGTGGTTAAATAACTCCAGAAAGTCCAATCTCTCCAGTGAGTAACGTTAAAACCATTACACATGAGCGTGGGAGAGTCCCTTCCATTAGTTTAAGACAGACAGATTTTGCTTTTTACATAGTAAATCAGTGCTCAAATAGATATTTCTTCAAATATGTCCTTTCTACATTCTGAACAGCCCAAGTGCAATAAGATCCTTCCCCCTTTCCGTTCAAGAAAATGCCACTTTGCTACTTTCTCCCCTTGCCCAACCGTGAGTCTGAGGACCCAAAGGGCTCCTTCTTTTACTGCCCCATCAAGTGTGAAATGTCCCCCTTTCCTCCCAGGAGGAGGACCTTTCCTTTCCCACTCTGTGTACTGGAAAAGCCTGCTTGGCCTGGCCTGGCTGTCCTATGAGGGTCTAGACCTGGGGCTGGCTACTGCGAGCAGGGCTAAGAGCCTGGCACCTGTCTCTAGCGGTCTTAGAACTGACCAGAAAAGGTTTGCTCTGATCTTCCCTTTTCACTCACGTTTGGCAGCTGATTTCTCAATACCACGAACCCCAGGATGTGTTTCAAATCCAGAAACTTCCCCTCGAAGCACCCCCCCTCCATTCTCAGTTCCTATTGTTGCTTTTGATCCCTGGGTGAAAGAGGTCTGGATCTGCCCTGGGCTGAAAGGGCTTCCTCAGTGGTTCTACCTTCCTACTCCTTGCCCCCGACTCTGCGTCTTTATTTAGGCCTCTTCGCCATACATGCCTACAAGGCTAGGTCAGAAAAAGCAAATTAGGCACCTCCCTTCCCCCCAAAAAAAGAAGAGCTAGGTAGAAGTTTTAGGACAGTAGAAAGTCTCAACTCCCCTGACACTAGTGTGACACACATGCCTTTTGTGTGAATAAGCATGAACCAAGTGATGGCACCTCACCATGAAAAGGGAGTCACTTAGCTGGGAAGAGTCGGAATGGGGACTTCACCACCCACAGCCGCAGGCTCTCTGTCTACTCACTTAGATCCCTGAGCACCTGAGAGAGAACACAGGAGGCTCAGCTTCATGGATACTTCCCTTTAAGCCCTGGGTGCCTCAAGTCTCTAAACCAATCACTCTTCCTGACCATGTATGAAAACGTCTGGCCCTTCTTTGGAGAGTTGCTTCAGGATCTCTGTGCTCAGAATCCCAGAGAATGAGGAAGGAGAAAGTGGCAGAACATTATAGTTCAGGGGATGTGCTAAGATTGGTCTAAACAGTGCTTCTCAGACACTGCAGAGACCCAGCCCTGAGGGTCCCACACGCATTCAAGACACCGGCTCACAACCTGGAGGCAGCAGGAGGGAATTCATATTATCCAGCTGCCATGTGATAGAGACCCCCAGTTATCTGAAGGTAGAAAAGGCTCCAGACATTCTAGCCGGAGGAAGAACAGCTTGAGCCATACCCAGACCTCATCAGTATCTGCAGCTGAAGAAACAACAACTGTCAGGGCAAGAATAATATCCATTGCCGGCAGTGGAGAGGACACCCAGGCCCAATCACCCTTAAAAGCTTTTTCATGTTGCCAATGCACTTGAGGCTGGAGGTTTTCCAGATGCCCATGCCAGCTGGGCTGACTCCACCTTCCCTCAGCCTCTATCCTTCATCTCTCTCTTTACCCATGACCGTCCCCCTCCCGCCCCAGCCCCTGGTCAGCAAGTTCCCTCAGAGATGCGGTCAGGCCAGCTCTGATGGAGCGAGTGCAGTCCTGGATCATCATCTCTTGGGGGGCAGGCACTGAGGGTGCCAGGGGAAGGGGAGGTGGAGCTCTGTACTGACGAGGAATCATTACTGAGTCTGGTTTCAAGGGGGCTCAGGATGGCGTGCATGAGGTGAGGTTCGTGGTAAAATCCAGGTCTAAATTCTCAGGATGCCCCATCATTTCTTGTGCACAGGTAGTTACGAACCCAGGTGGAAACAGCTTCAGTGGAGGGCTTGGGAGCAGTTACGAGGCGGGAGGAGGCGGCACGGGACGAGCACACAGGAAAGGGGCCTGCTGTATAAGCGAGCTCGGGGACTGAAGCCCACCAAGGAGAAGGAACAGGTAGGAAGGGAAGGGAACATGGGCATTTAGACTTGGCTCTCTGAGGAGAGCTTGCGTTCGTGTCTCCAGCCTGTGTCTGGCAGGGAGCCCCGTCTTTCAGGAGTGGCTGCGGTATGGACGCTGCTGCACTCAGACTGCTCTTCCTGCAACAGCTGCTCCGTCTCCATGTCATCCAGGGAGCCAGAGCTGGCCTGGATGGACACGGTGTCTGTCTTCATGCATACATGATCCCGAAGGAGGCCCCCTCGGGAGCTGCGCAGTTGCTTGAGGTCATCCCACTCAGCATCGTCCCCAGACAGGAGGCAGATCCCCTCTACAATCTTGACCTTCTCCTTGGTGTAGTTATGGTCAGGTCCACCCTAGGGTGGGGAGTGGAGAGACACGGTCAGTTGGTTGGCTCTCTGTAAAGGATCTCATGACAAACTTAGAAAGGAAGTGGATGGGCTAAGAGTGGGCATGAAGAGCGCAAAAATCCCACAAACAAATGGGGAAATTTAGTCAGAGCAAATGTATGAGGCTGAGCCTAAAAGGAAAGGAGCAGCTGTGATGATTATTACCATTATCATATAGGGAGGAGGGAGAACCGTGACTTCCGTGAGCCACTCACTGGCTACATCACCTCGGGCAAATTACTGAACATCTCCAAAACTCAGGCTCACCTCTTTAGAGTAACAGTGTCCGTACCTCATAACCAATGGCTGTGAGAGTTAAATGAGGCAATCCACGCAATGCAATTAGTAGGTGCCTGACGCATGACATGCACTAGATCATGTTAGCTATTATTACATTGCCAATGGAGTTTATTAATGGGAAAGCATGCTAATATACATGATCAGAAGCAATTGACAAAAGCAACTAAATGTGCATTTATTCAAGATTTTAAACTACTTTGGTGCTATTCGTTTTTATTTTTTTTTTGAAGTATAGTTGATTTACAGTGTTAGTTTCTGGTGCACAGCAAAGTGATTCAGTTATATATATATATACATATATGGTCAGATTCTTTTCCATTATAGCTTATTATAAGATACTGAATACAGTTTCATGTGCTATTTTATTCTTAATTCTCTTCTTTCTAACTTTCTTAAGAAGAAAAGTTTTAGAAGGTAAGACAGGAGGGCTCTAGAAAACCCTCTTACTTGAGTTCTGTCAATCCACTGGGGGTACTGTAACCTATAAGCTTTTGTGGGAGGTTATTCTGGCTCTACTCCCAGGAGCCTCAGGGCCATTTCCAAGCAACCTGCGATTGTTCCAAGGACAGCCTTAAGTTCCACTCAGGCTTCTCCCTTTATGGATTCCTCAAGGGGTAGCTGTACTCCTGGTTTCTGGGGGATACCAACCAACATGCCACCACTGCCAAAAGAAAATGGGCCATGGCTTGGGCTCTGTCCCCGGGATGGTGTTCCTGCCAAGAGCCCTGCAACTGCTGCTCTACTTTAGTAACAGTTCAGTTCCACCGATATTTATTGAGCCCCTTCCCTTCAATAAGCAGGATACTTTGATGATTAAACAATATAAAATATGGTCCCTGCCCTCTGGGAGTGACAGCTCCCTTGATCAAGGCACGCACACACATGCCCAGTCACCCAGCACACCCTCCAAGCTGAATTAGTGTCAGATAAGATGCAGACCACTCAGTGTCTTCATCACACAGACACGTGGGGTAAGTCAGGGAGATGTGGGTGACGTGGCACTAGCAATTTGGGTGATACCACACCCTCTACAAACACACAGCAACAGGTACCTGAAATTAAGAGGAAATCAGAAGAGAAAGGGTGAAACACTATCAGAGGGGTGAAAGAGCTGCTGAGGAAAAAGCATACAACAGGAGAAAGAGTCACATGATTTTAATTTCTAACCTAGGGCCCTCATTGGGGTTCTTTTCTGGGGCATCAGACACTCTAGGAACCCAAGAAGCTTCAAGAGTCTTTCTCTCAAAGATATTAACAGAGAAGGGGTCTACCATCCCTAAATCTGCAAGCTATCCCTGCAGGTTCTGTTTTGGCTTGTAGTGGATGCTTTGTTTTAATAGGGAAATTCATGGATCCTGAAATCACATGATTATTGTATAAAGTGTATTCATTATGCCCTATAGGTGTGAGGGCTGGCTTTGACTGTGCTAGATAGGCCAAAAGAGTAGATGGGTTAGGTCTCATAAGGGATAATTTCTAATGAAGGGTTACAGGATTTTAGAAAAAAACAAGGGTCATATCAGACTAGGAAAATCTAAGTCCCAGGCTATATTCCCTAGTCAAAACGGGACTATTTTTCATGCCTAAACATTTAACAAATAAATTTTCACTGCAGCAACAAAGGAGTTAAAAGAACAAAAGCATATAAACTTTCAGAATTCTAGAGAAATCCCTCTAGATTATGTGATAAGAGGAAGAACAGCAGAACTCCAGCCATTCCCAACCACAGGTGCCAAAAGCTTGGATCAGAGGTTAGAAAGGGAGAGTCCAGGAGCTCTTGGGTTTTTTGGTGTTTCCTAGGAGTTTGGGGTTATTTCAGAGGGGCACAGCCTCACTGCTGGGGAATGACAGCTCCAGGAGGGAAGGAACCCCTGGGCCTGGGAAAATATCTCCTGGCAGGGAGGTGCACACTCACATACTCTCAGACCTAAACCTTCTAGGATCTGCTTTCTAACCTTACTCTCACTAGGGCCCCTCAAGCTGGTCCCTCAGAAGTTATAGACCTCTCCAGAAACCCGAATCACATCCCATTCTTCTGTTCACTATAACTTCCAAAATGGTAGATGGACTACCCAGCATCCCTTACTGATCTACTCAGGCAACTGGAGCATAATCCACCCCCGCCCTCCAAAAACAAACTCTTGGATATAAATTTTAATTTTTACCTCTTTCTTATAGCACAGTTGATTGTACATGGCTGGTTTGGGGATTGCTTCAATTTTCACTTCCTGAGTGGAAGTTCGGTAGGAAGGGTTGCTGTAGGTCAGGTTCCCCATCGCAGGATCAGTTAACTTGGATTTTTTGTGTCTTTAGGAGAAAAAGTGATGAGAAATTAGTTCAGATCTGTATGGGGATAATATCTGGGGAAGCTGTAACCCAAGTTGTGGCAGGCAGCCTCTAAGAGGGCCCAGTGGTCTCTGCCTCCTGGTACTCACACCTTCTGAATTCCTGACCTGTGAGTGTGGGCTGGATCTGGTGACTCGCTTCTAATGAACAGAACATGCAAAAGTGAGGGATACTAGATTCGGTTACAAGGAAACTCCTAACAAGGAAACTGGTTTCTATCTTAGTTTGCCCTCTCTCCCTCCCTCCCTCCCTCCCCTCTCTCTTACTCTTGCTCTGGGGGAAGCAAGCTGCCATGTTGAAAGCTGTCCTATGGAAAGGCCCACAAGGCAACAAACTGCTGAGGGAGGCCTCTAGCCAACAGCCTGCAAGGAACTGAATCCTGTGCTTGGAAGGAAATCCTTCCCCAGTCAAGCCTCAAGATAAGACCACAACTCTGGCTGATACCTGGATTGCTGCCTTGTAAGACACCTTGAGGCAGAGGCACCCAGCTAATCTGCATCTAGATTTCTTTTTTTTTTTTTAATTTTATTTGTTTATCATTTTTGGCTGCATTGGGTCTTCGTTGCTGTACGCGGGCTTTCTCTAGTTGTGGTGAGTGGGGGCTACTCTTCGTTGTGGTGCGTGGGCTTCTCATTGCGGTGGCTTCTCTTGTTGTGGAGCATGGGCTCTAGGCGCGCGGGCTTCAGTAGTTGTGGCTCGCAGGCTCTAGAGTGCAGGCTCAGTAGTTGTGGCACACGGGCTTAGTTGCTCCGCGGCATGTGGGATCTTCCCGGACCAGGGCTTGAACCTGTGTTCCCTGCATTGGCAGGCGGATTCTTAACCACTGCGCCACCAGGGAAGTCCCTGCATCTAGATTTCTGATCCACAGAAACTGTGAGATAATCAGTGGTTGTCATTTTAAGTTGCTAAGTTTCAGGGTAATTTGTTCCACAGCAATAGATAACAAATACACTGAGCTTTAGAGTCAAAACAGACCTACGTTTCAATGCCACTTCTGTTACTTACTGGCTGGGGTATTGGTGGATATAATCTAAACTTTCTGAGCCTTAGATCCTCATCTGTAAAGTGAGGAATAATCAGACCTGTATTACAAGGTTGTTGTGACATTGATACATATTCATTAAATGGTAGATGTTACTATTATTGTTGTTGTTGTTAGTAGAAGCTGCTGCAGCAGCAGCAAAATCCTGACATTTTTGCTGCAAGCTGCATTTAAAGCATTTAGGAGAAAATATATACAGAGAGGGTCATAAAAGGAAGATTCTAAATTGAATACTACACATTCCACCTTCCCAGGATGATCTCTACCGAGCAATGATGTATCTATCACCCCACATTGTAGTAAAGAGTTGTGTTTGTGTGAAGAGAAAATCATTTCCAGCTTCAGTGGTTTGAGGTAGTGTAGAGTGGTGGAAAAAGCAAAGATGCTAGAGTCAGTACCAGCTTTGCCTCTTACTGTGTGAACTTGGGTAACACCCTCTGTGTCCTTAGTATCCTATAAGGAAAATACCAAGCGTTGCTGTGGTCATGAAATGAGGAAACTACTTGGGCTGTGACTGAGGAAAAGGGTACACATTCAGGTTTCTGCCCTTCCCTTCTGCTGCTCTGACCAGGGACCCAACTTTGAAATGAGGCTGGTCATAGGTGGAATCAGTGAGCTGTCAACTTCAGGAGGTCCCAGATGTGCTAATGGGACATACAGCAAACATACAGCCACTGCAGTGGGGCTGAGGTTACCTGTACAGCATCAAAGCTGCGATCACCACCAGAATAAGCAGAATGCTGAGGAGTCCACCGATGACATAGCTGACATGAAGTCCTTCCCCTAGGAAGAGCAGAGAGATGCTAGGTGGGGACCCCCGACAATCTTCTAGCTGGTGTGAGGGGTGGGAAGATGGAGGGCTCCTTTTGTAGCTGTTGCATCCCATACCATCTGAGGATGGCTAGGGGCCTCCTTCTCAGAGAAGAGGCCACAGCGGGAGGGGGGAGGGGGCTGAGAAGAAACCTATCACTATGTCAGCATCTCTAATCCCAAATCCACTACTTACTAGCTGTGTGACTTAAAGCAAGATGCTTAACTTCTAAGCCTGTGTTTTCTCATCAGTTAAATGTAAATAATAAATTGCTCATAAGGCTGGTGGAGATTGAAGGTGAGTGTGTATATACAAATACATATACATACATGCATGCACACATAAATATGGCTTAACAAGTGCCTAGCATACAGAAAGCACTCCATAAGTGGCAGCTATTATGGTTATTCTTTCTATGGATTTAGTCTAAGAAAAGGGTTCATCAACCCCAAAGAGTCCCCATGAAGGTTCTGCAAGATATCAATGGAGACTTAGATTCCTTACATCTTGTTTTTCAAAACAGTTGGGCACTGAGGGCTTACCTGAAGCAGCAGGTACGGCCTCATTGGAATACGTGCAGAGGCCCAGCCGGGCATCCTTTTCAGAGCATCTGTGGGGCAGAGAAAACTGAATGTGAAGGCTACTTGTATTCAACAAAGATTCTGCCTTCTGCCAGGAAATGGGGAAAGTCCTGTGAAGGACAGGGCTAAAGGCCTGGGAGTGGGGCTTTCAGATATGAGACTATACCAGACAGGAGATAGTGGAAGCAAGGAGAGGGCAGGACAACAAAATACAGAGAAATCAGCATGAGCCACTGTCTTCAAGATGCTATATCATGTTTAAATGTGTTTTAAAATGTGTACTCTTTTTTGTTATTGTTTTTGGCCGTGCAGCTTGTGGCATCCCAGCTCCCTGACCAGGGATTGAACCCAGGCCCTCGGCAGTGAAAGCGTGGAGTCCCAACCACTAGACCACCAGGGAATTCCCTAAAATATGTACTCTTTAAAGAGGATTCTTTAAAAAGGAGAAGCAGGTTTGGGAGTGAGCTGAAAGAATACTAAGGACATCAATAGCAGACTTTATTAAGCTACCAGCCAAGCAAACCTTGGATTGGATCAAGATTATCACAAGGTCTAGAGAGACTTAAAAAAATATATTGTTTTTCTTTCCTTCATTCTTTCACAAGGGAATATGCAAGATATCCAGAGGGAGGGCTTGGATAACTAACTTGAAATGCTGAGACGGTAACTCCTTTGTGGCACGTTATGAGCTGGCAATTAAAGACATGTCCTAAAAGTTTAGAGAAAAGCTACCTGCAGGAGCATCTGAAACCAAGATGTACTGAGTCTTCAAATACAACTCTGATAGGAAGAAAATATCTGAGTAGGGTTCAAAAGTTTTCTAAATAAACCTGAATAAAATCAGATTAATAATGATTGTTAGTGCTTAAAATTTAGTGAGAAAGATACACGTTTATATCTGTTTGCTTTTCTATATAAACTCTTCTAACAAGAGAAAATGGGGCATATAGAATAAGTTTGATCATGTACAAATCTTATCATTTTAGGGACGTGAGTCTAGTGGTCTTATTTGGAATTATTACTATGTTTCTGCCTTCAGAATTGAAATCACGTGTTAATTATCTTTTAAGCTACTGTTGATATTAAAAATAATATTACAATGAAAAATGTTCTAATAGCAAAATGCCTGGGAAGATAGTTGTTATCAGTATAGTAAGAGTAGGAAATGAAATCACTGTCTCTAAAAGATATCTGTACCCCCATGTTCAATGTAGAATTATTTACAAGAGCCAAAACATGGAAACCACCTAAGTGTCCATCAGTGGATGAATGGATAAAGAAAATGTGGTATAGGTATACAGTGGAACATTATTCAGCCATGAAAAAGAAGGACATTCTGCTAAGTAAAATAAGTCAGACAGAGAAAGACAAATACTATATGATATCATTTATATGTGGAATCTGAAAAAGAAAAAAAAAAACCAACTCATAGATAAATTGATACTATACAGATTGGCAGTTGCCAGAGTTTGGGGGTGGACAAAATGAGTGAAGATGGTCAAAAGGCTCAAACTTCCAGTTATAAGATAAGTAAGTCCTGGGGATGTAATGTACATCATAATGACTATAGTTAACAATATTGTATGTCTGAAAGTTGCTAAGAGAGTAAATTTTAAAAGTTTTCATTATAAGAAAAAAAAAGTATATATGTGTGGTGATGGATGTTAACTGGACTTACTGTGGTAACCATTTCACAATATACACATATATCAAATCAGAAAAAAACACTAAGTAATTACATATGAGTACTTATTTCTTTTTTACTCCTATCTGTATTTCCAGATGATGTTTTTGCAAAGTGTAAATAAAAAACATATTTATAAGACTTTCTCTAAATGGAATATAACATGATAGTTCATCAATTTTAAGATATGCATTTTTTCTATATTCTAATATCTCTGAGATAGGACTGTGTCTTACAATTAATGGCATCTCACAGTTGCTGTTGGTCATTTTTTCAGTTTAATCTCTCAAATCAGGATGCATTTTAAATTGACAGTACCTTCAGTCTAATGAAATATAATGTTTTACACTTAATTTGAGAGCTGTTCATGGTTATGCTTGCTTATTTAATAACGGGGTGTGTGTGTGTGTGTTGTGTGTGTGTGTGTGTGTGTGTGTGTGTGTGTGTGTGTGTGTACACATGCACATACATGCATGTGTGTTTGAGTGTTACAGGTCATTATAAACTAAGGCCATCACATCCCTGGGGATGTCCCAAGTTAAAAAGCCACAGCCCAGAGACCACTATGACTTAGTGGCTTCTAAGTAAACTGTAGGACAAGACCACGTACTAAACTTGTCTGTGAGAGCAAACGTCACTGAAAAAGG